GAAATTGTTATATTTGGAAGATCTCTATCTTTGCTTATTTCTATTTGTGCCTCCTTTTTAATGTTTTGACTTCTGACTATTTGTAGACTTTTATTAGAAGTTTGGGAACATTTATTTTGGGAAGAACTTACTATGAAAATTATAGTCTAATGGTAGAAATAAATATTACATTTCCTGAAATAAACATTTTGTAGTTGGCGTTATTGGTGTTTCTGTGTTTCATCCATATGGAAGTGTTAATGAACTAGGACTTTAACTTTGTGTTTTTGCGTAACGGGTTGACTTGGAACATTACATAAGAATGTGAATTTGAGAAAATTTGCAGTTACTCTGCTGAGTTGTGATTGGAGGCAGAGTGTGTAGTATGTTTGAAAAAGGAAGATGGATGTACACTTTAGCCCTCGAGAATGAATGGAAGGATTGTGAGTTGCAGGCTAAAGTTGCCTGCAGTTTCAACCTGGAGTTACAAGGTGAGATTTTAATTTTATTTTTATTTTATTTTATTTTTGCAGAACCAGGGATAGAACTCAGGCCCTTGCACTTGCTAGGGAAGCGCTTATTCTACTGAGCCATCTCCCCGGTCCCAAGATATTAATTTTAAAAAGCAAAAGGAAAGAAGGAAGGATGAACAGAGGCTAAAGCATATCTTTGTCTTTTTCAAATTATTAATGAATCAACATAGAGAATAGCAAAGGCACAGAGCTGACACATACTCAGTGGTTCAGTAAATTTTGTGTCAGGTGATGGTGCCTACTTTTAATCCCAGCATTTGGATTTAAATTTTCTTTTTTCTTTTTTTTTTGCGGAACCAGGGATTGAAGTCAAGTCCTTGTGCTTGCCAGGGAAACACTTATTCCACTGAGCCATCTCCCTGGCCCCAAAATTCCTTTTTTTTTTTTTTTTTTTTTTGCGGAACTGGGGATTGAACTCAGGCCCTTGCTCTTGCCAGGCAAGCGTTTATTCTACTGAGCTGTCTCTCCCCGCCCCCAATCCCAGCATTTGGAAGGCTGAGCACGAGGATCACTGTGAGCTCAAAGATTAAAGCCTCTCCAAAAACAACAAATACTAAAAAATTAATGTTTAGAGTCAGAAACATGTTCCACTAACAGTACAGTGTATGTTGTATATGGAGATAATCATCAATTTAAAAAACTTGCTTTTAATCTAAAAATCTTGAAGTATTTGAATTTTGAAAACTTATTAGTACGTGGAGTTTTTCTTTGTTTTGCGTTTTGACAGTTTTGTCTATTTGAGACAGGGTTTTACTATGCAGTTGAGGCTGGCCCTAAACTTACTATGTAGCCTAGCCTAGCCTCAAAGCAGTCCTTTCTGCCTACCTAAGCTTCTTGATTGCTGGGATCACAGGTGTGTGCCACCACTCCTGGCCTGTTATGAATTTATTTTAGTCCTTAACATAATACAAGGAAATAGCATCTATTAATATATAAAAAGACGAGGTGCTGTGATCAAGAGGAGTTTATTGTAAACACGCTTTAATGTTCAAACATAAGTCAGTGTGCTATGCACAACAGTGAAAAAGTATAAAACTTGGTTGAAATTATAAGGTGCCCAAAAATAGAGGTGGAACATATTAATATTTGGGAAGACCAGTAATGTTTACATATCACTGAGAGTGGTTTTTTTTTTTTCTTTTTTGTTGTTGTGACTGTCAGGCCAACTTTGTAAAGAAAGAAGGTTTATTGGGCTCATGGTTTTAGGGGAGATTTTTGTTTAAGGGAGGTTTATTTTTTGTTTTTTGGTGCCGAGGACCGAACCCAGGACTTCCAGCTTGCTAGGCAAGTATTCTACCACTGAGCCAAATTCCTAGCCCCTGAACTCATGGTTTTAGAGGTTCAGAGTAGAAGGTATGATGAAGAGCCCCCATTGATTATGGCAGCTGCAGCAGATGGAACCGACTGATGAGAAAAAGTCCAAGAAGCCAGGGAGCAAAGACTGCAGTGATGGCAAATATTTTAGAGTTTTCAACAATACAAAATGCCCACTGTGGCTTATATACCATGGGTTTGCCACCACTGGACTAACAGTGTTTTGGAAGGCCTACCCCAGGCTGAACTAAGGAGTTCCTGCTAGGTCCTGGACTGTCTATCCACTGCCTCTTCCTTCTCTCCTTTCCCTTCCTTCCCTTCCTTCTCTTCTTTCTTTCCTTGTCCTTCTCCTTTCATTTCTTAGGGGAGGGGCTCTTACCTTGTTGTCCATTGGTCTGGGAACCTGCAGTCCTGGCTCAGCCTCTGTAGTGCCGGTATTGTAGGTGTGTCCAAAGTGTATCCACCATGCCTAGCAGGCTCCACCTCTTAAAGGACCCATCATGTCTGTCAGTAGTACCAGGGATCCAGGCATTCAACAGTGTTGGGTGACTGCACTTAAACCATGTCCAGGCCATAGTAATTCACTCTCATTTAGCTGGCTTGTAGATTAACATTTCCAGGGGCTTTTAGCATTTATATAATTTTAATTAACAAATAATATGTTTACCTTTTTTGTTTTTTGAGACAGGGTCTTCGTATATAGTTCAGGCTGGCCTTGAACTCACTTTGTAGTTCAGGTTAGCTTCAAACTTATGGTGACCCTCCACTCCTGCTGGGATTATAGGAGTGTGCCACCATCCTTATTTATTTATTTTGTGGTGAGAATGCTTAAAAATTGCTGTTAGTGACTTCAAAGATATAATATGTTATAGTTACCATGTTGTAGAAATCTCCTGACTTTATTCCTAATGGCAAATTTTGTATCTTTTAAACCAGAGGTCTTCCTGAGGCCTCACACCACCCACTCTGTCCCCTCCAACTTTAATAAGCCTCTTTTGTAGACATTTTCTGCTTTTAATAAGTTTTACATTCTAGGTTCCACATATATAAGTGATATGTATTATCTGTGTGTCTGGTTTATTGCCCTTGAGGTAATGTTCTTTAGGTTTATTCTTGTTGCCACAAGTGACAGGATTTCCTCCCCCGCCCTTTTTTTTTTTTTTTTTTTTTGGTACAGGGGATCAAACTCAGGACCTTGTGCTTGCCAGCCAGGCATATCCTCCTCCTTTTAAAGGGCTGAATGGCATTCCACTGTGTACACAGACCCCTTCCTTGGTCCCTTCACCTGTCTGTGGGCACTTCCATTGATCTCACCTCTTTGCTGTTCACTGTGTGCTCAACAGTGAACATGAGAGTGTAGATTTTTCATGTGCTGATTTTGAGTTGTTTGCTTATGTTCCTCATAAGTGGGATTGCTGGATCACATGGTAGTTCTATTTTTAATTTTCTGAAGAACTTCAGTACTGTTTTCGTTTTTTGCTGTAGCATTGCAGCGTGCACCTTCCAGCAGTAACCATTAGTGTTTCGATTATAGCCAATCCAGTAGATGTAAGGTGATAATGCCCTATGCTTTTATTTATGTATTTATTTTTTGCAGATCTAGGGATTGAACTCAGGCCCTTGTGCTTGCCAGGGAGGTGCTTATTCCACTGAGTCATCTCCCCAGCCCCCTTGCCCTATGCTTTTAACTTGCCTTTTCTCTGGTGACTAGTGATGTTGAACAATTTTCATATACTTGCTGGCCATTTGTATGTTTTGCCTGCTCAAGTCCTTTGTTCTTTTTAGTCAGGTCCTAGTATTGAGTTCTTTATCTATTTTGGTATTATACACTTATCAGATTATACTTTGCACAAATTTTCTCCTACCTTTCCTTTCTTGGTAGATTCCTTTGCTGTGCAGGGCTTTTTGGTTTCATATAATCCCTATGTTTTTTTTTTTTTTTTTTTTTTTTTAGTTGTCACATTCAACGTGATTTTCCAGATAGTGTCATCGAGGTTTTTCCTTTGGATGTTCTTCTGAATTTTAGATTTTGAATATTTGGCCTATTTTGAGTCAGTTTTTCTCTACGGTGGGAGAAATTAATGTAATTTCATTTTTTTGTTAGATTACTCTTGCTTATACCATTTACTGAAGAAGCTGATTTTCCCCATTTTGTGTTCTTGGCACTTCTGTTGAAAATCTGGATTTATTTTGAGGTGTTCTCTGTTCTTCCATTGGTCTGTTTTTATGCCATTACCATAGTGTTTTGGTTACTATGTTTTTTGGGTAAACCCAACCCCCCCGGAACTGGGGATTGAACTCAGGCCTTTGCACTTGCCAGAGAAGCGCTTATTCCACTGAGCCATCTCCCAGGCCCCCTTTTGGGTAAATTCCAGCCTTGTTGTTCTTCAGGAGCATTATGGTTATTTGAGGACTGTGGATCACCATGCCCAGCTTGGTTCTGTTAATTTTACCACAGTATTTTCTGTTTCTGTGTTTCTGTTTCTGATACTGGGGATTGAACTCAGGGCCTTGTGCATGTTAGCACAAGCTAGTGGCAAACACTATATAACCAGCCTCTTTTGTATTTCTCTGAAAGTATCAACTAGTGTTTGATGGGGACTACACAGAATTTGAATCCTCTAGTATGAAATACCCCCCCCCCCCATTCTGGAGGTTGAACCCAAGGCCTTTACACTGAGTTATATGACCAGGCCTCTTTAAATTTTTAATTTTGAGACAGTGTCTGGCCAAGTTACCTGAGCTAGGCTCAAACCTTCTACCACAACCTTACAGAGTGCTTGGATTGCAAGTGTGT